TAGTAGCTTCCTGGGCTGTCATTTAAATCTGCCTGCCAGGTTAGTAGGCCAGAGGCGGGCTGGCACGCCCCCTGCCCCCACCCCGGATCTTCATTCTGCTGGCAGCCGTTGTCTTGGCAACGCCAGTGCCCGCGGAGCTCTGCAGAAGGGTAACCATGGGGGGAGCAGCCCTTTCATCTCCGATTCGGGTACAAGTGGCCCAGCTGTCTTAGGGCTGGGCTGCAGGGCCAGAGCCAGGCCACCCGGAGCCAGGCTACCCAGTGCTGGTCCAGGCCTGGGAGAGGACGTGGGAGCAGATGAGTCCCTTCTGTGCGCTGACCGCCAAGTTTAGGCTTTACATCTTTGCCCTCACAGATTCTCGCCTGCCCTGGGAGCGGAGGGGACATGCCCCAGCTGGCTCAGCAACAATATTGATGGGCATCCACCTTGCCTATGGGTCTCTGCCCTCACAGTATTCTCTGGCGCCCACAACCTGTCTGCAGAAGCCTGAGAGCAGACAGAGCCTGCATCCGTGACATCTCTCTCATCTCCCTGTCCCAGGTGGCCTGGTATCAATCCCCTCCCCAATCCTGGGCTCTCCTCCAGACATGTCCCTGCTCTGAGGACTGGGGCGTCCCCTCAGCTTCACTCTGGGCAGAGTACTCTGTGAACACACTCCCCTATTTTCACTGCTTGGTGGAACTGGCCCAAGACAGAAAATTGAGTACGAACCTCTGCTGTGTGACCATAGACTAGTCCTTCCCCTCTCTGGTCTTCATCTTATCTGCAGCGGTATTTTGGGTGTGGTTCATTGGACCACTTGTTTCTTGAGAAATTAACACACATGGCAATCAAAAAAGAAGTTTCGTCGCTAAATAAGTTTGGCAAGTGCTGGAGAAACAAATTTAATTCAGTGCCTTTTCTGTAGGCTTTTTCAGGGCCTTTCGTAAGCCAGGGGAAATCATGCATCTTTCCAAGGGCGAAATAAGTGTTTCATCCCAAACATCTGGGTGGATGGCCACCTGCTCTCAGTTCCTACCTCTGCCTTTCTCCTGCTCTGCTAGGAAACCCTGAAGGAAGTCCCAGCAGCTTAGAGCCATGGGTTTTGTTGGCTGCTAGAAAGCAACCCTGGGCTTAGCAGAGGTTGGGTGAGTTTCTGGGTGAGCTCAGGAAAAGCCAGGCCCCTGTGCTGGGCCTCGTAGGAGTAGCCTTGTGCCAGGCAGGGCGAGTTGGCCCCTGGCCTAGTGGAGCTCCCAGGTCCCCAACCCTGCCTGGCCATTCTGTTCCATGTCTCAGGCCCTGCTATCCCTTACCCTGAATGCCCTTCATTGCTCTCCTCACTCCCACAGCTTGGCTGACTCCTCTTCCTTTAATACAGTCCCCTCCTCCAGGAAGCCTTCTCTGACCCCTAGACATGGTGGGACCGAGAGTCAGAATCCCTAGGTTCAGGTGCAGCCCTCCCACGGGTGGCTGTGACTTTGAGCAGCCACTTCTCCCTGTCCCTGGTTTTCTGGCTTATAGAACGGGAGAGCTGTATGGAGGCCTTAGGGCTCTGACATGAAGCACTGTGATTGCTAAGAGGAAGCCACACAAAGCAGTTCCACCTGGCAGCCCCGACTAATCTTTGTTTTGAAGCCCCCTGTGTGTACTGGGGCTGTGGGGTGAGCGTGGGTGGGGAGCAACAGAATGAAGGATGCGTATTGTCTCAGGGAAGGATGCTCTGGGGAAGCTGGCAGGTGTGAGTGATCATAATAATTTCACAAGATCGTAGACTGGGTGTAGAGAGGGGCTTAAGATTCAGTCAGCACCACACCTGCATTTCCATATGAGGAGGCAGGCCCAGTGGGACTGATGGGCCCAATGCCACACACACAGCAGCTGGGGCTGCTGACTTCACGCACCTCAAACTTACACCTTTATGCTTTTCAGTTTATGCACTGGCACCATCCTTAGCCCCTTGGCTCCTCACAACAATCCTGTGTGGTGAAGCAGGGATAGTATCCCTGAATGCAGATGAAGAAAGGGAGGCTCAGAGAAGTTCTGTAACTTGCAAAAGGTCACACAGCCCACCGTGGCAGAGCAGAGTTCGATTAACCATGGACTGTCTGACACTTTCCTTGGCCGGGGTTCTTGTTATAAATAGCAACTCCCGCTTCCTTTGTCCTGGATTTCCCATTCTCCCCCACTTCTGCCCTGGTGTCAGCCCCTCCCACCGCCCTCTGGAATCCCAAGTCCTTTGTGGTAGCTCATCTGTTGCCATGGCACCAGATTATGATGTCGCAGACCCTGGATGACTATATACTGCTCCTGGGCTGTGGAGTACAGGGATTCACAGAGGTGGGCATTGTCCAAGGGGCGACTAGCATGGAGGGACATGAATCCCTAGAAACGGAGCCACGGCCTCCAGCCCAGCTGGGGAATCACCCTGGGAGCTGGAGCCAAGGCTGCCAAGGCCAAGAGAGTGGGGGCTGGCATGGCCTGCTCCGACAGCCTCGAAAGACTGCCCAGCCCTCATTACTTGGCAGTGCAGATGTAGCCTCTTGATGAGGGGCTGTCGGACTCAATTCCCTGAACAACCTGGCACCAGGATGCTTGCTCAGATCCCCCAGGAGAGCCTTTTTGCCTTTTGTTCTGTGTCAGTGCTGCACGGGAAAGCCACCGTCCCCCCGCTTGCCCAGAGAGGGAAGAAACTTGCCCAGAGTCACCCAGAGAGGAGGTGGCTGTGCCAGGATTCAGCCTCAGGTCTGACTCCAAATCCTTTCACATGGTTATACTTCAGACAGGCCCCAACCTGAAAGTTGCCTGCCTCAGTTTCCCCAGGACAGTCCATTAGCAGGGCTCACGTCATCATAAGCCCAGGTTTATTCTGCTGTACACTTATGGCAACATTCCAGGGGAGCACCTCGTGTAGGCACCTCCCTACTATGGTTGATTTGCCTCGTGTGGAGGCTCCAGGACCTCGTCACACTGCATTTGCCTCTTTGGAGTCCTTACTCTCAGCCTGGCATTGCTGAGGTGGCTGAGGGCCTTAGTGGAGGGAGCCTAAGCTTGCCACATGGAATTGAAATCCTACTTCTGCCACCTACCACCCTCACCTCTTTGAGCCTCAATTTCCTCTTGTGTAAAAAGGAATTAACCGCAGCTACAAGGGTATCTGACTGTGAGGTCAAACTGTGGCCCATATGTGACCTTAGGCATGTAACTTAGCACCCCAGGATCTTCCGTGTGACAAGTGGGACATATGGTCCCTCTGTCATGGGGTTTCCTGGTAAGGTTACCTCACACAGAGACTGGCACACAGGATACACTCAGAGGATGTAAAACAGGAAAAATACGTTTCTCTTTTGGATGCTGGGCTTCTGGTGGAGAAAAAACTCTGCTGTCCATGTTGGGAAAAGCCCCAGGTGCTGTGGTTCATAACTGTACTTACTTTCAGGTGGTTATGGGCCATGATCTGCCAACAAGCAGTATTGGTATCTATGACCTGCCATGACCCCTCAGTGCAGGGCTCAGGGAGGGCTGCTCAGGACCCCGCCTTGGGAGTCAGCATGGCTGATTCTGCTCCCTGCCTTGCTATTTCCCTGGGCTGACCCTTCCCCTCTCTGGGCCTCAGGCTCCCTATCTGTAGGTGGATTCTGATTCCTCAAGTTTCTTCTAGCCCTGCATAGACAAAGGTGTTCTATAGAAAGTGTGAAGAAAACTCGTCTTAGAATGGAGATGTACTGCAAGGATTCCATTGAAAACAAAGGCAGAAAAGGAAGGGGTTCAGGAGACCCAGTCACGTCACTCCAGAGACAGCCAGAGCACCTGTGGAAGGATGTATGTGATCCAGGGCTGGCACTGGGAAGAAGCTCCTGGGAAGGGCAGCCCCGGGCCTGGATGTGTGTGAGCAGAGGCTGGGCAGCTATGTTTCCATTGAGTTCTGTGCCCCCACTGAGAGCTACCCCAAGTTAGGTCCTGTGCCACATGTGACATGGCACCTACACTGGGGGAGCATCAGGCCAGTGGAGGGGCAGGGGGAAGAGCAAACCATATTGAACCCGGTGTTCTTGTCCCAGTTCTGCTACCAGCTGTGAGAGCTCAGCCTGCTACATACATCCCCTGGGAGACCACGGAACACCCCATTGCCTTTGCTTCTAATTAAGACTTCAGACCATAAAAACAGCAATTGCTGCTACTTACCGAGCATCTGCTGTGTGCCAGGATCTCTGCTGCGTATTCTTCATACATTATAACTTCTTGTTACTCCCCCTCAGAGTCCTTTGTTTCCTTCTTCCCATTATATAGATAAGAAAACGGAGGCTCAGAAGTTAAGTAACAACCCCCAAGGTCAGGTTGACAGAAAGAGGCACAGCTGGGATTCAGACCCCGCCCCC